AGTCCTGAGTTAAATTCCTGGTACCAAAGAAAAATGTGTTTTACTTTCCAAACCACTTTTCCTAGTTCTACTGAAACCTCAAAACTATTCACTCTTATTTCATGTACCAACAACCCAACAGAATAATTAAATCCTAAACATTCAGCCAGGTTCTACAGGTCTGTGGAAAAATAAGTTTTGTATCAATACAAAGGAAATCCATTCTTGTGAAACAAGTTTCAGGGAGGAAGAGTTGTAGCCTGGAAGGCGATTCCAAGATTCTCGAATGCTTCTGAGGCCTTCAGATTTTGTTTGAAACAGATTCTCAGAATATCAAGCACATCTTTATTCAAGAGAGGTACAAAAGCACATTCCTAAATCAAATGCATACATGTGATCTGTACATATTTTGTTATTTAGGGATTACTTAGGGCTCTGTTTTATGGTCACCATAGGTTAAGTATTGATCTCTGTTGAGAGTATACATGTTTGATAGGGAAAAAGAACATGCATTTTTCATTTTCTTTTTACATTTAGATCATTTAATTATATATCAATTTCACTTAGGTCCCTGCCCTGCCCTGATTAGAGCCTATGCTTGCCGATGGAAAGATATAAAATATAGCGGTAGAACTATCCTAGAGGTTAGCTACAAGAAGCTTATAATGTATTTTTACATATTTTTTTGCAGATCCCTAATGAATATTATATAACATCTGAACTATAACCTCAATTGCTGTACTGACAGCTAGGATTTTAAATAACACTTGTCTTATTCACAAACGTTGTGAAGCTTAAGATGGAAAAATTACTAAAATGCTTTGACATCTAAATAATCATAAACTTTTAGTCGTTTTTAGGTTTATGACAATGATCCTGAACTCAAGCCAACATCTGTGATCATTTTCATTAGTCAAAAAGCCACATTTTTTCATATGACCTATAAGTCCCATTAAAATACAAAAATAGAGATGATGCACACATGTTGTCCAAGCTACTCTGGAGGCTGAGGCAGGATAACTTGAGCCCAGAAGTTCAAGGCCGGCCTGGACAACAAAGTGAGACCTATCTCAAAAGCAAAACAAAAGCATGATGCACAATCATTACACACAAAGGCCCCACAGTTCAAATACTGCCCTGAATCGATTAAGGGAGCTGGGGAGAGGTCTGAACAGATAAAGGAGGAGTCCAAATAGTTACATTTTAGCAGGTACAGATGTAATGCTCTCTTAAAATATTGTCTCTAGATACATAAAAATAACACATTTTATTTCACTTTGCAAGTTTTCTGGGTTCTACATTGTAGTGCTTTTTTCTGTATGAAGGGGTTCTTTTGTACGTATACAAAGTTTGTTTTTGTTTTGTTTTTGTTTTTTTATGTGTTCTTAGTGTTTGTCCTATCAAAACAGACCTAGAAAAAAAAAGACCTGAGCATTTTTCTGGCCTTCAATAGAGGCATATGAGAACTCTAAATTTAGCCATGCAGAACAGGCACAGAATGAGTGCAGCTAGGCCACCAGAAGTCTTATTGATGCAGACAAAGCAGCTATAAACTTGGACATCGCTTGAAAATATTTAGGTGTGTGCCACAAACTCAGGAAGACCACATCTTCCATACTTACGGATGGGCTGGAGGTGAAAATCCAAATCTTTAAAAGATGCTTCACTGTAGGAAAGAAGATACCAGACCAGCAATATCAAATAGGAATGGCATACCTGTTAGTGACAAACTTAAAACTAGGAAACTACCATCTTCAGGTTCATAAAGGAATGCAGGAATCTAATAGTTGTGGCTATAAAGAAATTGGAATGTGGGGTCCTCAGAAAAGAGCAGGCCTAAGAATCTGTTTCAGAGACAATTTGGGTCAGGAATAGCAGAGAAAGCTAAATGAACTACTTTTCAGATGTTGGTATATGCTTTAAGGTATACTAGGAATATCTTAGGAAGCTGTGAATAAGAACAAATTGCAGGATGAATACAAATGTGCATAGGCCATATTAAAATGAAAACAGCTTAAATGAGTTCCATAAATAAAATATACATACTTAGGACACATACTAAATAAAGAGATGAAGATACAGGACGGCATTCCAAGTTATTTTTGAGACTAGATTCTTCTGCAATGAAAATGACTGGGACTAAGTATTAACAATTTCATACATAAGTTGTAACAATTTTCTCTCCACTACTTTAATATGGGGTAAAGTCTTAAATACAGAGGCAAATTTCTTCACCTGCATTGTGATCAGGTATATTTTGATTACAATTAAGACTTGATGAATCTTACTAAAAAGATCTGCCACATTTACTAGACTCAAATGACTTTTGGGTAATTCTCAGATGTTGAATGAGCATTGAGTTAAAACTGAATTTCCTGTCATACATGCATTTATTAAACTCATAGGCTTTCTGCATGACATGAATCTGGTACTGAAGCAAGGTAGTTCCTTTGACTGATTGTTTTACATATTGGAATTTTATTCCAGTACAAATTCCCCAATTATGAGTAAGGAATGAATATAGCATGAATATACCCCATTTGACATATTCAAAGCTTTTCTCACCGGTATGGATTGCAGGAGCCAATTAAGAGTTTAACACTAAAAGCTTCCCAATATTTATCACATTCAGAGGGTCTGTCTCAAGAATTCCACCTTAGAATATAGTCTGAGCTCTGACTGAAACTTTACCATGCAGTACATACTGACTTCACCCTGGTGTGAACTCTCAGATGTTGAATGAGGACTGAACTTGACTAAATGTCTTCTCATGTTCACTGCATTCATAAGGTTTCTCTTTGGTATGAATTGGTTGATGCTGAACAAGATGTGCTCTCTGATTGAAGTTCTTTTCCCATGCATCACAGTCAAAGACTTTTTCTCTGGTGAGTACTTCTTGTTGCAGGATAAGATCTGAGCTATGACTGAAACTTTCCTCATAATCATTACATTCATATGATTTCTCTTTCCTAGGCATTTTGTGATGCTGAATAAGGCATGAGGTCTGACTGAAAGCTTTTCCACACTCATTACATTCATGTGATTTCTCTCCTGTATGAATTCGTCGATGCTGAATAAGATGCGAATTCAATCTGAAGTCTTTTCCACATTCATTACATGTATAGGGTTTTTCTCTGAAACAAATTCCTTGATGTTTAACATAGGCCAAGCCACATTCATCATATTCATAGGATTTTTCTTCATGGTGGTGGACCCTCTGATGTTCAACTAGATATGAAGTATGACAGAAGTCACTGCCACATACAGTACACCTACAGGGCATCTCTCTGTGAATTCTCTGGTGTTGAGTAAGGTGTACACTACGACTGAAGACTCTTTCACAGTTGTTACACTTGTAAGATTTGGCTTTGGTGTGAATCTTCTTATGCTGAATTACATCTGAACTCTGACTACATGATTTATTAGACTTTTCACAGGATTTATCAGATGCTTCACATTTATAAGGTTTTTCTCTAGTGTGTATTCTTTTATGTCGACTGAGACTTGAGCTCTGACTGAAAGATTTTTCACATTCTTTACATTTGTAGGGTTTCTCTCTGGTATGGATTCTTTGATGTCTAGTAAGGGCTGAGCTCTGATGAAAGGTTTTCCCACATGTATCACATTTATAGGATTTCTCAGTGGCAGAAATGCTCTCCCATTTATTAAGGTGGGAGAGATCCATTGGGCTTTCTTTGTATTCACTATTCTGAAAATTCTGTTGTAGATTTATGTGTTCATGTTTATCAGCAGCTGAGTTCTGGAAGTTCATATCATACTTACTGTCATCAATATTCTGTATTCTAAGAACTCTGTGCCCTGTATCAAGGGCAGAATCCAGACTGAAGCTTTTTTCAGGTTCATTACATTCACTGTTCTCACTGGTGAAGGTTTTCTTGCTGATTGCTATTTGTCTAAACTCTCTTTCGAGGAAGAGAAATTTTCTTAGGATTTCCTGAAGCCTTTCTAATCTGTCCTCAGACTTATATACTTCTCTAGTCTCAGGAACTTGGACAATATCCTGTTTGAGTCTTCCTACTCTCACTTTGTATGAATGTACTTCTTCCGAAATTTTCTGCTTAGGAATCAACAGCTTGTTCTCGTCTCTGGTTTCTCCATCTGATATAATATATAAATAGAAAATACAAATGTAATCTGTACCCTGTACTTCAAAAGAAAACTCAAGATAGAAGAAAACTAAATAATGTAATAATTACTAGCATAAAAAACAGGCACAAAATCTCAACAGCAGATGTTAAGGGCATGAACAGCAGCCGCCCAGTAGGATCCAAATGGATCATGAAGAGGTACAAATTAGAGGTGTGTTCAACAGAGTAAGAGGATAACCAGTTAAGGTACTTCAAAAAAGCTAAAAGCTAATTCAAAAGAATTTTAGGTAAGCAACTTGAATAGGGACTAGTACAACTTGTGCATAAAAACTAAATAAATACAAAGGGTAGGCCTAAATCACAGGCAAAGACAGGAGCTCTCTATTCCATGACAGAGCTCTTCTTTCTGAATGCCAAAGCAGTCACAATTTGACTCAACAATTCCACTTTACTGCCCTACTAATTTCATGTGATTTATTCTGCCTTACTCACCTGAGCAGTCACCTCTTAAGACTTCTCTATTCTTAGTTTCCAGATCAAAGACCTGTAGATCTTGTTCCAGCTGGAAGATCCCATCAGGCTTGGAAATTGGAAATCCTGCTCATAGAGAAGGAAATGGGATGTGGCAATTTATCGCCAGAGGCTACACCAGCCACCTTTTTCTTTTAACTAATGATTGATTACTAGAGAAAGGTGTTCTGAGAAGACATTAATTAGAAAGGTCTGCAGAGTGAAAAGGACAAAGATCTTGTACAAGAACTCAGATTTGTGCTCTAGAAAGAGGTGTGTTAAGCAGCAAGATGATAACTTGCAAGCAGCAGCATTCATTTAAACGTTATTCAGACAAAAAAAAAAAATTGTGCATGAGTGTGTACCTATCCTCACACAAGTTCTTATTATTACCCACCACCTGTGGCCTAAAAATAAATCCTTGTATTAGATCTGGCCTATAATACCAAATATAATTCTATTGAATTGGAGAAAATGAAAGGTGAAATGCAAGCACCTGTTACACTGTAAGCTAAGCTGTAGCAACAAAATCAATGAAGACAGAACAAATATCCCAAGAATGAATCTCAAGAAACAATTCCAAATTCATTAAGAACCAAAACAGAGTAAAAGAATGATTTCTGGTTCCTCTTTAGCATATCTGGGGAATTAACAAGTTAAAACAATCTATATTTCAAACTGACTAGAAGAGTATGAAATTCCCAACACAGAAAAACCTATTATCGTACTTTAGCATGGCCAGCTACTCAAGGAGGTTGAGGCAGGAGGGTGCAAGTTAGATGTTCATGTAGGCAACATAGCAAGACCTTGTCTCAAATTAAAAAAGGCTGAAGATGTAACTCAGTGGCACAACTCTTGCAAAGTGTTCAAAAAAAATGGAAATACTTATTACTCTGAGTCAACTGTGTGTGTACACACATATATATATATATATACACACATATATATTAGAATCAGCTCAGCGCATCCCACAGAGATGCACAAATAATATCTCAAGAAACACCAAAAAATAATGAGTTTCTCGGCTCATAAACAAAGTCTATGACAACCTTACTTTAGCTTACTCTTTTTTATTCAACAACCTTTATAGCATCTCCTATATGCAAACAATGGAAGGAATGGAGAGCCCAAACAGAAGGTCCACCTCCCCTAGGACTTCACACTCAACTACAGACAGCAATGAGCAACTACAGTATGATACAGCAAGAATAGTACAATAGTAAATATGCACATAGAGTAATCTTGCTGTAGCTCTTATAATGGACTATTAGGACCTAACTCTTTTAATGCTAAAACATTAATGGTTTTTTTTTGTTGTTGTTGTTGTGTTTTTTGGTGTTTTTTTTTTTTAGACAGGGTCTCACTATGTAGTTCAGGCTGGCCCTGAACTATGTAGCCCATGTTAGCTTTAAATGGCTAGCAACCCTCCGGCCTCAGCCTCCTGAGTGCTGGGATTATGGTCCCACCACACCTGGCTACTTTTTTTATATGTCGAGCCCAGAAACCATTGAAAAGTATATGTACAAGGCATGGTTCAAGCCATTCTTCTCCAAAAATCTTTCCCTTCATTTACTGCATGTCTATAAATGTATTATTTGTTCCCCCTTATCCTACAAGTCACCATGTAATGATGACATTAATAGCTTCCTAATACGTAGTTCCAAGGTTCACCATCCTCATTCAATTTATAAACTTTCTGACAGCAGGCATCGCATACCATTTATTTTGCACTTTTGTTTTTCTTGCTTTTTGAGACAGCATCTCATCGTGTAGTACAGACTAGCCTTGAACTCACTATGTAGCCCAGGCTGGCCTCAAACTTGCAGCGATCCTCCTGCCAGCCTCCAGAATGCTGGAATTATAGGCGCGCACCACCACATCCAGCTTTATTTTGCACTTCTTTTAACAGCTACTTATTACTGAGTACCAACTCTGTCCACAAGTGTCAATGTACAAATGGCTGATCAAGTTTATAAAAATGACATAGCTCCTGGAAAATGTAAACCAAAGGTACTCCCTTGGGATTCCACATGAAAGCCTGTACATAAGGGGATCAGGACACACGAAAGTCATTTACTACATTTTTTAATTCCAGCTAGAGATTAACAGAATCAATTTGCTTCCTGTTTTAAGTCTTCTATGTCACATAAAATAGTTTCACTAGAGTGACATTGTAGCCCAGCAATAAAGTGAAGGCCTGCCTACTATGCACAAAGCCCTGGCTTGATTCAACTTCAGGTTGAATCAATGAAAGGTTTAATAAGTAGCATGATCTAGCGATACAGGATTGGCCCAGCACACACAAAGGCCTAGTTCAATCCACTTAATACTGCCTAGTAATATCCAATTTGAGGAAATACACATAGTGGTACCTAGTTCACTAGAACTGCGGAATAAACTGTGAAACCCGAATCATGGATTAAAATTCATAAACTGAGGCACCACTGTATATACGTACACATGGATACATACTGAGTGCTACTTGTCTGTCTACTTGAAGGCCTAGATTTACCCCCTACGATGGAAAAGTGTGACATGAAGGATAAAATATTGTGTTGAGAATTCTAGTAACACTCTGCAACTTTTAATGTTAGGTACTTACTAAAGTGCTTTTCAGGGGCTGATGAGAGGGCTCAGTGGTCTAAAGCACCTACTTAGAACAAGCTGTAGCAAAGCACAGGGACCACGGTTCAATCCCCCAGCACCACATGCCAGCCAGCCCAGCCCCCTGGTGGGCTGAGCTGGCCACACACACACACACACACACACACACACACACAAATAAATAAAAATTTAAAAAAATAAATAAATAAAAATAAAGTGCTTCTCAGCATTCAATATTTGAGACAAACTGGCTATTTTTTGGTTACATTTAAAATACAAATGCACAGCAAAAAAGGTGGTCTTCATGTGGGATGAGGAGTTTGATTTGACACTTGTATTTAAGAAAATATAACAGATAATGTCTAACAAGCAGTTAGGAGATAAGACCATAGCTTACAATAGAGAAAAGGTATACAAAAGACTTAAAGCCGCTCGTAATAGAAGTATTATCAAAATATTAAGGTTTACTCATGGGTGCAAAGTGCCGTTGCAAGAGCTTTACAAGTTTCCACTTATTTAATGCTCACTACTCTATAAGGTGGAACATTATTGTTTTCATACAAATGGGAATTTGAGATGTCAAAGTACCTTCCCCCAGGTCACAATAGCTGGTGAAACTAGGAACTTGGCTTTTAATAAACACTCTACTAGTAAAAAGTAGTAACAGTGAAATAAAATATATCCTTCCTTCAAAATGTATAACATAAAAAATACATAACATATTAACAATAGAATAAAAGTAAAAATAAAAAGAGAAACAGTGACTAGAATAAAACAGAGCCACCATCCTAAGAATTTAGAGCCACAGAAATTTTAATTAAAAGGGGTTTTGCCAGGTGCGGTGGTACACGCCTGTAAGCCCAGCACTTGGGAGGCTGAGTGCCACAAATTCAAGGCAAGCCTGGCCTACACAGTGAGACCCTATCTCAAAAAAGGGGGTGGGGGGCCCCTAAAAGATGATTTAATATCAAAGAAATGCAAATCTTTTAATAATAAACATCCAAACCCCGAGACAATAAACTGAGCAATATCCAATTTCAAGAAATTTTACATAAAGAAATAATTTTAACAAGCTCCTTAAATTTTTTATTAGAAATTCTTTGTTTTCCTTTTTTTTTTTTTTTTTTTGGTACCAGGGATAGAAATTCTTATAGTTTGTATCATTTGCTCTGCTTTCCCAAATAACTAGCATGAGCGAGGTACCTATATAGGTAATCTACCTTAATCCTTGGCACAACTCAAAAAAGCAGACATTTTTTGTGCTTTGTAGATGAAGAACATAAGTGTAGGGTAACTTGCTTCATATATCACAACCAGTAAGTCATATCTAAGTTTGATTCCACAATCCAGCCTTTCCAATCTATCATACTGCCTGTCATAGAAAGTCTAATGCTAGTTTTTCTTATCAGTGAGCTTATTTTTTCTAAAATTTTAACTAGAAACTCTATGCTTTCAAAATATGTACTTGTGTCAGGGGGCTGGTGAGATGGCTCAGTGGTCTAAAGCACCTACTTGGAACAAGCTTAGCAAAGCACAGGGACCGCGGTTCAATCCCCCAGCACCACATGCCAGCCAGCCCCGCCCCCTGGTGGGCTGAGCTGGCCACACACACACACACACACATAAATAAATTTAAAAAAAAAAAGAGTAAATTCAAAATATGTACTTGTGTCAGCACAAGCCTATAATCCCAGCATTTGAGAGGCTGAGGCAGGAAGATTACCCTGAGTTTGACGCTAGTCTGGGCTATATAAGCAAGCTGAAAGCCAGCCTGTACTTAGTGAGACCCTGTCTCAAAAAAAAAAATAAATAAATAAAATAAAATAATAAAAATAAAAATAAAAAAATAAAAAAAAATAGATACACTTGCTTTAAGTTTTTCTGCCCTAAAACTATTTTTAGTCAAATCTCTTTATTTTTTTAATGTAAGTCTTAATAGTTTTCTATTAGCTTTACTGTAGTATAGACTTTAAAAATAACACTTCAAAAATAAAATCTGGAGCCAGGTGGTGGTGCGTGTTTGTAATCCCAGCACTTGGGAGGTAAGGCAGGAGGCTCTCTGGGAGTCCGAGACCAGCCTGGGCTACATAGTGAGACCTTGTCTCCAAAAAAAATTTTTTTTCTGAGTTGGGAGTAGGCCAGTCTAGGAAATTCAGTAAGATCTCATCTCAAAGTAAAAAGGGCTGGGGATGTAGTTCAGTGGTAGAGGACTTGCCTAGCATGCACAAGGCCGTGTATTCAATCCCTAGCACCACAAAAATTAAATAACATTTCAGTTTTACTTTATTCGACTTGTTGCTTTTACCACAGTTGTGCTAAAGATTTCTGCAATTTGGAAGTTTCATGCTTCTCTTCATGGTCTTTAATTAACACACAAATAAAATCTCTTAGCAATAGCTTTCTTATGGGGCCAGGGAGATAGCTCAGCAGCATAAGCACCTGCCTGGCAAGAGCAAGATCTTGAGCTTGAGCCCTGATACAAA